TTTAGATTGTTGCAGTTGTCTTTGAGTTTATAGTTTCTTCAGGGAGGCCAAAATTGTTGAAAGTATGAGTACCTTTAAACTACTTGTCATAGTTTTTTCAAAGGTTGCTCTATTGAAATCTGGATAAGGACACCTCTCACTAGTATGCAGCTCAGCCAAATGATGAAGTAGAGTTAGAGGAAAGGAAAGATTGGATCCACCTTTAGAAATGGAAAAGAATGGACAGACTTTTGCTGATAAAATAATTAAGGTTGCAGTTAATCGCTCTCAGGTAGTTTAACTCTTTTGCTGCCGAGTTTTCATAACAGAATCACTACCATGGTGCTGGGTATTTTCAACTAGTTTTTAATGAATTTTGAGATGATGATACAAATAGTTTATCATCTTTTATAATTATATGATTTTATGGAGAGAGCTATAGTGTCTCATCAGCTGCATGGGTACCAGGCAATGAGTATACTCATTAGACACAGTGGAAGTTGCATGTACTCTGTGCAAATAGAGGCACTTATGTCTGGGATGATTTCTGGTCAGTGGTGGGAAAGGACTGTGTTCCATGTTGCACATCCTTGTGCTAGCATGCTTTCTAAGAAGTTTTATTTATATTTATTTATCCTCCTTTCTTAATTCTTGTTGTATGAAAAGAAGACTTGCCAGTCAATATGTTGTTCTATTTATGAACTGAAATAATCAAATTGTAAGATAAAGTCAGGGATATCATAAAATCTCCATGATCTGAGTAAAGGAAAAGACCAAACATTGTTTGAGAATGAACATGTGTGCCTTTAATAGAGCTGGCGACATTGGAACCTTGAATATAGTTCCCTGTTATTTATTTACTTTTCAAGATAAGGGTTTTCACAAGAACCTCCTTCCTATTGTAGAGCAACCCTATTATCCCAATCATTTTCTTTATATGAGTTTATATGATTTCATTTATCCTGTTTTTCCACAAATTTTTCCTCTTTGAGCTGTAATAATTTGCCTTCTCTTCTTACAGGTCCACCTTAGCAGTATAGCCATTTGATGGAAGTTGATTCTCACTACCAAATTGTGATGGATTAAGCTGCTCTTTGTGTAAATTTCCTTATTGATGAACCACTGTCTGTTTTGATGTTTTGATTGCCTCCGTATGGTGGAGACCAAAGAGCAGCATCAAAACACATGAAGTACCCCAGGATTATGCAGAATGGGCTAGAAACTGATTCAGAGTCCATCAAGATGACTACCCAGACAAAACGAGCATGGAAACTTCGTGAGTCTTTTATTGATTGAAACATCTATTCAAAGTGTGAAGTATAGCCCTCTGCTTACTAGTATAGGTATTACTATTCATATGGTGTCTCAGAATCTGTGTCACATAAATTTTTTTAAAATCTTTGTAAAAGTGTTTCTCAATTGGTTTATCACATTGATAGTTTTTTCTTTCAATGTATAGTCTGAATGCTGTTTTCTGTTTTTTTGTTGTGCAGATGCCCATTAGTCTATATTTTAGCTTTGGCTAAGAAAATAAAGAAAAAGAAAAATATGTCAGGAATACTGGGATACCCTGTAAGTCCTGGTATTTTTCACAAGGAACCATAAGTGTTTTTCAGAAGAAAAGCGGGATATTTCTCTGTCTCCTCCACAATTTATATTCATTGCATTGAAGTAATGCATGTGGTTTAATTTAAATTCAAGCGTAACAAGTATGAAAAAAAAAATTGGGCATAAATGAAGGCATTAGATGTAAGTGGATCATCAAGTGGATGTAATTGAAATTTTCTTGCAGTTTGATAAATTATTTCTTCAAAATTTCCCTGATGTGATTTGCAATGGTTTGCTCCTGCGTCCCTCAAAATTAATTTGGGGAGTTCTGAGAGACCTATAATTTGTCATTCTACGTAACAAAAAGTAAAATTTGAGATGTAAAAGTCCATGAAGTCTTGAAAGTTGGCTTCCAGTGATAATTGAGGGGTGCACGGTATTAGACCTGTATTCTTTTGGAAGTTCTCATTGAAAATCTTGGAAAATATATATTTTGGTTGCCCTGTTTTGGTTTCTTAACTCCTTATCATATCCCTTTTGGAATATGCGATTACCATACAAAATGTCATTGCAACAACTCCGTAATTTAAAGTGCATTTATGTGTATAGACACGCAACTTTATAGACCTCCAATGTGGTCTCCCCGCATATCGCAAACGCTTTTCCAGATTTCTGGGACATGCATTTTATCAGCACTCCACGCACACTCCCACACATCCTGCGTTAGGCCTGTCCACGATTCCTTTCCTACGTGAAGCGCGTGACTCGAAAGCAGTGCGATACTCGTTATATTGAGTCGATGGAAATGAGGTCACTTGTCCCCCAAATGGAGTCATGAAATAAGCTCTTGCAGTAGAGTGATGCGGGGAGACCACATTGGAGGTCTATAAAGTTGCGTGTCTATACACATAAATGCACTTTAAATTACGGAGTTGTTGCAATGACATTTTGTATGGTAATCGCATATTCCAAAANAGAGAAAGCCTTTGTTCCATGCGACCTGCAATCGACGCGTATAGCGTGCGTGCCCATGCGACGATCATTGAGGGCCTCCCATGGCTACGGAATGGGTAATGATCACAATAAAACATTTTGCTCTGAGTTGCATATCCCTTCTAACATCGCCTTTACCCATTGCTAGGTCTAATTAAAAAATATGTAGTGTTTTCATGGGGTATCGGTAACGTGATTTGCTTTCATTCAAGTTCACGCGATCCGCGTTCTATGAATATTTATGTAATAATATTTACTGCTAGCGTCTACCTTATCGCCCCAAGATAGACGACGTTACCTCTCTCTGCGTGACAGATACTGCGTGCTGGGTGTTACTGAAATATTTTGTATTTTCTTGAGCGTTCTTTGCTGAAACAGAGCGCTGAAGTTCATTGAGTCGACTGTCTGGGGTTACGAATCACTTAAAAAATGACATATAGCAGACTAATCTGCATCCAGAGATTCGGGTTAAACAGCATACTATTCTGTACTAGTAACGCCTTTTATTTTTTGTGCTTGTGTTTTGGAACTTATATGTTGCTTTGGTCATGAGGGCGTTCCTTGTAGCTTTTATTGTGTAATGAGCGGCATAATGAGAGCGCTGGTGGAACGAATTGGGCCGGTTCCATTTCTCCCTGCGAGAGTAGAGAGGATCACGTGTGGCAAAGACCTACGTCTCCACTGCCACGTTCGACCTTTACGACATGGATTTTCATGACGAAAGTATGGGATGCTTCTCTGCCTGTATTCGTTATGCATGCTACGGATGATGAGTTGCCCCATTTTATGCGGTTTTGGGGGTGAGAAGCCATGGATTTGCCCACAGCTGGCATTTGGCTCCGTCCGGGTCATTCAAAGCTTCCTCTCAGTTGTCGGCCTTGGCATCGTATACTTTGGTGTAGGCAGCTCTCATGCATTCTCTATTGAAGGTCGCAGGTGATCGGTTGCTGGCTTGTTGGTTGTCTTATCATGGGGACGCGAGTACTGAATATTCATCTCGTTCGTTCGGGAACCCTGAAACTATCCTGTTTGCATCTGTTAAGGCTCTGCACGAAGAAAAAAACTGGTTCATTCCATTTTCTGAACCCGCGGGCCGAGATGGCATGAAAGGCTTTCGTGATCGGACAGTTGCATGAATCAAGGTCGAGGAATGAGGAAGCATCCTGACACGGAAGGGCATCTGCGAATTGCAATCGATGAATGTGGAGCGTGTGGAAAAGGCGCAGGTGTCTCACTCGGAGGCGCGGAGAAGATCCTCTTGAATCGGTCGACTCATGGGTCCGTTTATCTAACTCTCGGCTTCTCTGTGAGGAGGCAAGGGGAGTTACGAAAGCTTCCTCTCAAGGTCCCAGTCCATTGCATTCAACGGCTGCCTGACCTCTGTGACAAAATAGGTCCACGGTCCCATTTGAATACTAATATCTGCCCAAATGTCAATGGCAAGGATGATGTGAAAGATACGCTGAATGGACACCTGGAGGGATGCTTCATCGTGACCCTAGGGCAGGACTCGGGGTGTAAAAGCAATGAAATCCACCTACGTGCATGAAACTACGTTTGCGTCATCATCGACGCCGCCCTGTTTCCGCACATACCAGGCTGTAGCAGGTGTTTCTACATGTCAGCGCCAGTTCGTCCGAGACTGAAGCATTTGGCATATTCATGATGGGAATGGGGTAACGGTTCGAAGCACGATGGGAGCCGGTTGAATGGAAGAGGAGACTGACGGACCGGTGTGAGCCCCGTCGGCACTTTCCTGTTGACTTCCATGCGACCTGGGAAAAGTGGCGTAATTACTGCAAGCATCGTAATGGCTTGCCTTCTTTTTTTATGAATTGTCTCCGGAAACAGCCCTGAGAAAGGCAGGAAACACTAATGTGAGAGCCGGAGATAGGGGGATCCCACCACGGACCGGCGGTATCGAAGGAATGAAACTCCTCTCCCCTGTCCTCTTCCCCTATTCCATTCTCTTTCTCTCATCCGATGATAATCTGTCTCGCAAGAGTCACTCGAGTAGATGACCATGAAAAGGGAAACACCTGCTAGACCCACCTTTGTGCCTCTTGATCTTCATTGAACTCCCGGTATCGTTGCTCATCCTCGAAATTAACGCTTGACGGAGCGTTTAAAATGGCTGCGAGTCTCGAAAGTTCTGCTCTGCCCTCGTTATTGGTAGCCGTACGCGTTGAATGAAAGACCATCTAGAAAAGTCAGTCTTATTTCTAACTGGGCCATGAAGACAAGCCCATATTCCCATGGTGCTCACCACCGACTTCTCGGCATTCCACGGCGATTTGAAAAGACGGATGATTACCCTTGACTGATTCTCACTAGTCACATTGCGAATTCCACACATGCATCAGGACTAGACCTTGTATACGGGGAAACACCGTGGACACGTCCTTGTTATGAGCCGTAACCTCGAGACTACGACCTTTTTTTATACCTAAAATTACTCATTGCTCATGATTTTATTGTAGATGAGTGTTACATTTTAGAGATTTTTAAATACCAGTACTATTTACTTTTCGCAACATGTTATTGCAATTTCAGAGGAGTTTGCAGCTCACACTGCCAGTGTCAACTGTCTTGCCCTTGGCCACAAGTCAGGCAGGGTTCTGGTCACGGGTGGAGACGACAAGAAGGTCAATCTTTGGGCCGTGGGGAAACCGAACTGTATTATGGTGAGTTTCATCTACTCACCGTTTAGGCTCTGAATGAGAATGTTGTTGAAGTCTCGGTCATCCGGATTGCAGCAGATTTTCTTCCTTGAGCACTCAGTTTCTTCTCCACCCACTTCCGAAGCCTCCTCTGAAATATTTATTTTTCCATCTTTTCACAGAGCTTGTCTGGTCATTCAACTCCTGTTGAATGTGTTCGCTTCGGCCCTTCTGAGGAACTGGTTTGTGCCGGCTCCTTGTCTGGTGCCATGAAAATATGGAATCTGGAGGCCGCAAAAATTGTTCGAACCCTCAACGGTCACAAAGCCAACATTCGGTGCATCGACTTTCATCCATATGGAGACTTCCTGGCATCAGGATCTTTAGACACAAATATTAAGGTACGGAATTTTTCCTCACAAGTTACTCTCTTTCAATATTTTTTTTCTTACTTACCCTGATCGGGGACCTGTGTACCAGTGATTTCCATGAGTAATATCAACAAACTAATAAAAATCAATAGCATGTACAGTTAGAATTGCCAATGGAAAATTACTCTGCATTTAAATAGGTTTTTTTTTTATCAACCTGCATTTGTCCATTATCTGGCTAAAACAACTTTTCTTGAACATATTGAAGCTGTGGGACATCAGGAGAAAAGGGTGTATATATACCTACCATGGCCATACAATGACAGTGAATAGTCTGAAATTTAGCCCTGATGGGCAGTGGATTGCATCAGCAGGTGAAGACACAACAGTGAAAGTAAGTCTTTGGACTATGCAGAACTATCTTCCTACTTGCATGTGAAAATTTATCTTAAAAATGTATCCTCCTTATGTGTTATTCAGCTATGGGACCTGAGAGCAGGGAAGCTTCTAAAGGAATTCTCAGGGCACACTGCATCAGTCTCATCAGTCGAATTTCATCCAGATGAACTCCTGTTGGCCTCTGGTGGAAATGATCGAAAGGTTCACTTCTGGGATCTTGAAAGCTTAAATTTGGTTTCTTCGACTGAGGCAGATTGTGCTGCTATTAGGTAAGCTTATTCTAAGATGAATTTTCAGCCAAAATTGTTGAGTTACCATGAGACTAAACATTCCATGAGGTGTTGAATTTATCTGAAATTTAAAAATCTAAACTCAACATTGCAGAAAGAGCAGAAGGTGCTTAACACATTGCACAGTTGATGGAGTTTCAGTGCTGGTCCTTTGTGTGGGTCATGCATGGTTCAACATTACATGCATTGGGGTCATTTTCATAGACTGACAAATGAAATTTCCTCCTTGGTACTAGCACATTTAAGACCCAGTTTTCTTTTAGATCATCCTACCCCTCATCTCAAGTTTGAGGCTTGTCAAAGAAAGGTTCTTGACACAATCTACCACAAAAAGTTATCATGGGGATTAAATTCTGGGCTGTTGGGGGGAGTGGGAGACCATTCCACCCCTTTTTCATGCCATCCAGAGTGCTGATTTGACACTGGTATTGTGGCTAACTTCTCTAAGAGGCCTGCAATAATGATGAAGATAATTAAGGCATGCAGGCTTAAACAGAGAGAATATGTCATGATTCCAGTGTTTCAAAACCATATTGGCAGTGTTTGACCCATGATAGTCAAACACATTTTTTCAAGGGAAACACAGGTTTAAACTTATATCAATAGATTCTGTGAGGCATTATAACAGGCAATTTTCAAGTTCATTTCCTTGGGGCTGTGGCCAGTGCAAGATTGAAATGTATGTTAGCACTTTTCATTGTTCATGCCACATGGCGTGTTCCATGCAGTGAACCTCCACTGCTGTTCATGGCAAGGAGAGGTTGACTGGGCACTTAAATCCCTTGCAGTCAACATGTTAAGTACTGGTTTCTTAAATGTGAACTATTGTGCAGGTGCTAGGTGCAGGTGCAGGTGCAGACTGCAGGTGCTAGCAGCACTTAGAATTGATTGTCATATCATGCATTTCATTAAGGGATTAAGTGCACATATGCAATTATTCTAGCTTATGCCCCCCTTTCTTTTGCAGGTGTATTTATTTTGATCCTGAGGGAAAACGTTTATTTGCTGGATCACAAGGTGTCCTGAAGGTGTATGGATGGGAGCCAGGAAGAACTTATGATACCTTGATTATGGGGTGGGGAAATGTCCATGACATTGCCACTGCTCAGAAGCAGTTGGTGAGCAACATTTGAATTTGAATTATTTTATGGTCTTTGGTATTCAGGAAAGCCTGAATAACATGGTGTGTTTGTCTCAAACATAGATTGGTGCCTCATTCCACATGACCAATGTTTCCTTGTATGTGGTTGACCTCAAGCGTGTTCATCCTGTGGCTGGTGAAGCCATGATATCTACAATTGTTTGCAATAATCCTAAAACATTCTCACATTCCCATTTGAGAAAATCCTTCAACCGTGAGAAGAACTGCAGCACTACTGGTGGCAATAGGTAAGGAATCATAGGTAGTGAAGAACATGTGAATCATCAGTAGTATGCATGTTTACACTAATGTTGTTTCTCTTAACTACAGTGAAACCTATTTAATGGAGTCAGAAGGAGACTTTCTGAGTTTGACCAATTCAGATAGGTGATCTTTATAGAGAGGATTTAAAAAATTTCCCAATGAGAGGAAAGCAGCAGGTCATTGCTCCAAATATCATTTTCTCACTACTGAAATTGCAGAGGTGTAAAGTGGCCAGCACAATAGGTCTATAAATTCTTGACCACTGGCTACTAGATATTTGGTCAGATAAAATGGGTTATTTCATCATTGAGCTTAGAGTTAATGATTAGAACTGAGCTTTTCTGCCTGAAAATAGTAGATGGTTGTAAAATGAAAGTGATCGGATCCACAGGATCTGATCACTTTGATTTAATTGGAAATAAAACCCTTTATTTATTAAGATTTTAATATATTAAAAAAACTAATTGCTGAACTATTGACAGAACAAAACATAGTGAAACCTGAAATCTCCCTGAGAAGCACATTGCCAATGAAATAGCATAACAGCTGAAACAAATGCTTGAGTTGGAAATGTGTATTCTTCTTGCAGTGCTAACTCCAACTTCAAGATGCAGTTGGAAGATTCTGATACAGTGACTACAGACCCAGAAGATGATACTTCTTCTGCTGCTGATATTCGTGATGAAGATTACGTGTCAATATTCCAGCCACGTAGCAGAGATCTTCGACGGACTCCTCCTCCTCAGCCAGAACCCTTCCTTGCTCCTCCTGAAGATGACATCATTGGAGAAATGCCTCCTGTTCCTATCAAAGTGAAAGAAATGACACCAAGTATGTTGAATTATTGACAAAGGCAGTTGATTGCGATTTGTGTTATCTGAAATGAGATAATTCACGTTCTGAAGGAGAATCAGGACCTGGGAGACCAGGAAGAGAAGGGATTGGTGCTCCAGTGAAGCCACCAAGAGGTCCTGATCATATATCTCGCCGGGATTCTCTTCCAGCTGGTGCCCCAGATGATCGGGGCTCCAGTCACATGAATCGATCTCGATCTGAGAGTAGGAAAAACAATTGGTTGACATCACAACATCATCCTCAGTCATTTGATGAAGTCACTCAAGAGTATGTAACAATGTCCATTGCCTGAATTGCCATTCTTCTCTGGGATGCATTTTTATTGTCAGGAATATTATTTCTAGTGAAGTGGTGTCATCTCACCAGTCTGTGATGCCCCATTGCCCATCAGAACCCAACATCAATTCCCTCAATTCATATTCTATCAAGGAAATTCCATCTCGACTTCGAAGAGGAGATACAGGGATAGAGAGGCCTTCTGTGGTGCATACAAATCCCAAGACCCTATCATCAGTACCAATATCCAAAGAGAGGGTTGACTTTATTCCATTTCAAACAGAGCAGCCCTCTGGTCTTAATATAGAAGAGTTTCTTCCTGTTAGTTTATTTTATACTTAATATATATAGATCGAAGGATGACTTGATGTCCTGATGTTAATTCAGGCTATTGCTATTTCAATATAGAGGAAGATGGCTGGTTTGAGTGTGGGCTCATTATTGCCATCAGATGTGGGCTTGTCAGAGGCAGAAGTGATATCTACCCTCTGTCGAAGCCACAAATCCATGCTTACCATTTTGACTGGGAGATTGCGTCAGCATCAGATAGTTCATTCCATTTGGTCTAGTAAGGATCCAAAGGTAAGGCTCTATGCTGTTTTTTCTGTTCATATCCAGCATTGTGTGAAACATGAAGGTGAATTGATGTTCCTTTCTCTGATGTTCACTTGCTTGCAGCATGCCATTGATTCAGCTGTTGCCATGCGTGATCCCTCTATTGTAGTTGACTTGCTATCCATCCTCAACCTCAGGCCGTGAGTATCTGGTTTTATATTATCTGGAAATATGGAGGATTCACATTGCTCATACCAAACTTTCCTCCGAGAACTGAATGTGTACTGGGAAGTTAATTCATTAGAGCCACTATTTGTGTTGCAACTCCTTGGAGAGGTTTTGAATATCCAAACCCTTGCATTTTGAGGAGCCTGATTTGAATGTTATTCTCTTGAATATTTTATCCATTTCGTTTAGGAGCATGTGGAACTTGGACCTGTGTGTTGCTCTCCTCCCATCTTTGCAAGAGCTCTTGGAGAGTAAATTTGAACTGTAAGTTTCTTGTTGAAGCTGTATATTATAGATTTTTCATGATGAAGAAAGGCTCCATTTCTGTATTCTGTGATATAGTACATATCTTTCTCTTACAAGTATTTCCTGCTATCTTTCTAGGCATATGACAACTGGGTGCAATGCATTGAAAGTAATCTTGAAAAATTTTGCTTCGGTCATCAAGACAAACATCAGTGTTCCAGTTCACACAGTTGGTGTGGATATTTCACGAGAAGAGAGGTTAGTTTACAGGACCTATCTTGCTGTTGATTGTCTCTTCTTCTCTTCATACCCTGTGATGTGAACTGTCCAAATTTGCATGACCCCTAAAAAGGGGGATTGCCAAGCCAGAGTGGGAGAGCTGGGATCATAACATTTGTGTATAAAGCCATTGATGCCTCAAACTATCAATAGGGACATTGATACATCAGTAAGTTATGATGGGTGACTTGCAATACGGTGAAAAGGATTAATCACCAACCCATCCCCAACCTCACAAAGTTCCTCGAAAAATCTGTCACATTTCTACTTACACTTTTGAGGTAATATGTGAGTTCCCAAATTTTTGCCATCCTTCCACTGATCTTAAAAACCTGGTCATCCTCTGGTTGAACTTGATTTATGATTGCATATTATGTATCTATCATTCTGATCGTAAGTTAACTAACAGAGCTTTCTTGAACAAAGAGACTATATTGTGCTGTTGATCTCAATTGTTTCCTAGGTATGGGAAATGTATGGAGTGCTACAATCAACTATTGTCCATTCGTGCCTTCATCCTGAAGCGTCAAACTCTTCAAGGAAAACTGGGACATTTGTTCAGAGAACTACATCTCCTTATGCAAAGCCTGGATTGATCTTGCTGGTCATGTATCAATCCTTTTTGGTGACGCTTAGCTACCTGCAGCCTGTAGTGTCTTCTGGGCATGTGCTGATTTCAGGTACTTTTATTACCGGTCCTACGGATCATTTTTATTGCTGGTATTGATATTGTCTGTGATTTTCTTGCTTTGAGTTTCTTACATGTCTTTTCTTTACAAGCAAAACGAGCAAAGAAGCGTAAATTAATATGTTGGTGAATCACAACCATTCTGTCATCTATTATGCAGAATAATCCTATACTAGTATCACTAATCTCAGCCTAAAGAAAAGGGGAAACACCGTTGTTATAACCTATTTTTGTGACAATATTTTATGAAGGATGTGGGGTCCGTTTAGTTGGACACAAGGCATGATTGTGGGATTATGTGATAATTGTGCCATGAGACTTGTGTAATGCCTTTTGGCCTTCCTGAGGTTTGCTCTTTTCTCTCATTGCAGACTGTTCTCAGTTCATTGTACATTGGTACCATACTAAGCAGCCTGAAAAGAATAATGTTATCTGGCTGTTGGCATCTGTGGAATTTCCAGATGAATATGTACAACCAGAAGTGTCCCCTCAGTTAACCTCTTGAACTTAAAATGCTAATCCAGGCTCAAATGAGATGGATCCCTTTCCATGTGATAACATTGAATGTAGTCTACCATATGTCAGCATGTCTAAGGCAACTTTAGAGATGTGCATTTTGTTTATATGCCCTTTTAGGGGATTGTAAGTCATCTTGTTGAAGCGTGCAAGTAGAATTCTGCAAATATTTGAAACGATCAAGGTGCTCCATCAGATCATGATAATCCTCAAATTGGTAATGCAGAGTGGAAACTTTCTTTAAATATTTGCATCAATAGTGTCAGTGAAGGCCTTTTCTGCAATCTCAGGTAGACATATCCATTACTGAGCTCATGATGAGCTTGAGATTTATTTTGAATCTGTAGAATATATGCCAGATATGTTGGCTCTCACAAAGGAAGGGTAAGAAAATTTAAAATAATCATCTCTCTCAGGAAGCAGAGAGATGATTGTTTTGCTTTTTTTTGTCTGATTTGCAACCTTATACCTTTGTTCATTCTACACCTGCCTTAGATGATTGATGAATCATGTTCAAGTATTAGACCAGTTGCTTTGCTATCATGAGGTGACAAGTACACTTTTGGATTACCTCCAAGACTCCTGGAGCACTTTGACTGAAAGAAAGTCGCTGCTGTGTGAGTGCTGCTATACTTGATAGAGATGCCTCAAAGTGTGAAAAAGTTAGTTATAAAAATGCAACTCTCTAATGCTGCCTTAATATTTCCTTGAAAGAATCAACCTCATTGCTACTTTTGATAAAGTAATGATGGATACATATTTTCTCACTCTAAAGAGAGCATTTGTGGTTGTGAAACACTTGGCAATACTAATTTGTACTCATTCAAACTTGAGAAGGTGGGTTTTCAGAGGCCACTTGAAATTTTAATTGATTTCAGGGAATACAAGGGATGCCATGATCTTCTCAAGGAAATTTTGATTGCTATGAATTGAAACTTAACTTTTTGGCTTGAGGGGATGAAATCATCTCTTTATGCTGTTTTAAATTTTCAGCTGTCTTGGAAGGCTTCATTTTCTTATTAATTATCCAGTATAACCTAGAATAATCATATTTCCAGATCAATCATCCAGGCAGCTCACATGCTCTCCTTAGGCACCTATACAAGCATAAACTAGTATGAGGGTTAGGAAAGAAGTTGGGGGATGAAAACAGAAAGCAAACAATATGGAAACAATCCTTTATGGAAAACATCAACAAAAATGTTTGGAGTCCCAGCAACAGTGTGGAGTACCTGGAGGAGAATAGCCTCATACGTCTAATACCAGTACCTCAAGAGTTAAATACTTGCAGGGTAACATCCTTAAGTGCCTCTTGGTCCTTTCACCTTATATCAAAAATTTGAAATCCTTATAAACATTTCATCACCTCTTTCCTGATGTCAAATGTTTTGAAAGTGGAACATTGTGTTGGGTGCTGTTTGTACAGCAGATTGTTATTAAATTTGTATGGAATGAAGAGAAAAGAGTCTACTCCATGGGCACCTCATAGATTCCTCTTTCTTTGCATTTGTTACACTTCAAATGGTCCTGTGGGAATGGTACCTTATCCTTAGTGTTTGTTTGCTTCCTGGTGCTGTGTTGCACTTTTTGAGGGCCATGCCAAAACTGTGTTATTTCAGATTGATTCAGAAGTTTGAGATGACTTACTTTTTCATGGTGCACTGAACCTATGTCAACCCTGTGGCTAGGTGGATTGTGCTGGTGCTAAACCAGGTCCCCCCTCTCACCTTGAATTGATCATATGCTGTGTATGGGTTATTCATCCCCCTTCATTGAATGAAGTAGTGTCATTCCATTCATTCCTTTGACATGATCAAGAACATCTCTTCAGTGTTTCAGAAAATCTCAAATTTGTGATATGTATGGATGCTTGTCTACATTCCGAGTGATAATGGTCAGTTTCTTGTATTTCAACTTTAACATGAGACCCATGGATTACCTGTCTTTCAGAAAGAGACTTTATGGAATGTGTTGCATGGGTTTTTTTATTGCACACACCAAACTACTCATTACTGGTTTTTTCATTCTTGAATTTCTCCATCACACTCGGAAATTTGGATGTTCATCCTGCATACACAGTTTTACTGATAAATTTCTCTATGGATATTATGCCATCTTCCGTTGACACGACTGGTACATGTATTCCTATAATGGCTGCTAATTGGTAACAGTCTTGTATAAAATTCCTAGTCATTGGCTGGATGCTTTTTAATGAGAAGTCTCAAATAAAAATTGGCTCGTTCCATCTCATGCATCTCTTTTATTTCTGCAGCTTTGAAAATCTACATCTCAAAAGAATAGTATAGTATACAATGATACGTTTTCCAATCTTACTGGCTAATGCCTGAGGCCAATTGCCATTTTTTGTCTCCGAATGTGAATGCTCATGAAAAACTTCACATTCAAGGAAAAGTGGCTGTTAAGGAAGAGTTGAAGTTCTGAGTGTTAAAACGCTTAAGCAGTGACTTCATACATTGAAAGTAAGAGACAGTTAGTGTGACATGGCATGCAGTATTTATCCTGTTTTGGGATGACTGAAGGCAATACGCTGAAAGTTCAGATTCATGTGATCCATTCCTTCTACTCTTGGTTTGGAATGCCATTAACCCATTGGTTCTCAATGTTCTTATAAAGCAAGGGTCGGGAACCTGTGGCTCATGGCCGAAAATTTTGGTTCATTAACATTGTTGAAAATCATGGCTGTTACTCATTTTTCTCATATCAAGGACTGCATATGTATGTTGCCAACTTCAGGAAAAATTATTTTGTTCTGAAAATCTTTCGCTCACAAGCACTTAGCTCAATCTTAATGTGACTCACATGGCTTAATGTGGCCAAAAAGGTTTTCGACTCCTGCTACAGAGGAACATTTAAGCATAATCTTCATTCGTGTAAAAGATTTTGAAGTGCATGTTTTCTGTGCACCTGTAGAAAAAGCTGATAATGCGGGGTTCATGGTGCAATTTTGGGGATTGCATCTCGAAACTGTTATTGGTGCGGAATTCCAAAGTTTGAAGAAAATAATACTGGGATTTAATGGATCAAATTAGTACTAGAATGGGTTGAACCTTTTTTCTCTCCTTTGTCACTAGTAGCCTGCCTCTCCATTTTGGCCCCCCCTCCTCATAAAAATGTTAAGCTATGGTTCGGCTCCAAATCCAGTTTACTGCAGTCTGTAATTTCAAAGTCAATGACTGTCAATCTCTTTCATGGATCTCGTAAAAGAACACCTGATTCACACCTGCGCCTTTCAGAAGAAAAAGACATTTAAAAATGCTAAAGATGCGTCTCTGTGAATACGTTACAAGTTTGGTCTTTGTTGCGTCGCATTCCCAAATCTAGCCAATGATCACCGCGCCTGCTATGCGCGGTGATCGCTCTGTGGCTGAGAACCACAAACAGTGGAATAAACGGTGATTTGTGGCGGACTAATTCATTCTGTTGACCACACTTAATCACTCCTCTTGAGACAAGAGGAGAAAGGAGGTCTTAATCATGTGCAGGAGGTTACTAGGACCGAACAAGAGAGAAGAGTTAGATGAGGTAGGGATTTTTCGTTTATAGATGCTTGTGCGAGGACGCCTTCCTGGTCCTAAATTGCCGTGTCCAATGCTCAGGGATCGTTAGGACGACTTTCTTGGTGTCGAGCGCAGTGGTCCTGCCGGGAAGTCGGATATCGTCCTTGGCCTTACCATCCATGATTCACTTGCTGAAACTGGAAGAAATCGAAGGAACGAGATGTTTTCCTCTGCCGTCAATATTCTCAAATTATAGGTCACGGTCTCTCTTTGCAGTTGTTAACAACGATGGTTCCTGTCCTTCAGACTTAGCAACAAGGAGAACCCGGGTTGGACGACCGATTCGGGTGAGTAAATGGAAAGACCCCAATGAATTCTTCTTGGTTGGCCACCAGAACGGAGAGTGACTCGACAAATTGATGAGCTGGTAAAACTGATCCTGTGCCGCCCGACATGCTCCACCTACAACCATGCTCCTTAGGTCCAAGTGCGTTTCTTCCGGTCGGATTGCGATCCGAGTCCTCTCCTTGCGGGATCCTTTGCAGGACGGCTGATCATTTCTCAAGCTGACCCGCAAGTAAGGGGGGGGGTGGTATTCCACGGGAAAAAATTAATGGGGAATGTTCCATTTTTTTCCCCTGAGTTCCTCTGGAATCAGTGTTGAGGGCTCACTCTTGTACATTTAGCACACAAACGACTTTGAGAAGAGACAAATAAAGTTGCAACTTGCAACCCCCTCGAAATCTCTTCTTGTTTATATATGAATACGTTTTCTCGCAGTATTAGTTTTACTATCACTTCTAAGCTAAACAAAATGGAGAGTTATCTACGGCCTCGAACTACTATACATTCGCTACTGAACAGATAGTGCCTGTTATATTGTTCTCTTTTTTTTTTTCCTCACGCGACACTTTCCTCTCCGTGGACCAAGTTCCTTTTATAAAATCAATTCATCCAATCCTAGTTCGTCCAAAAACTTAGAGAGATGGGGCTAGCGTATATTATATATATACTGAACCGATTTCGAAACGCACCGCTTAACAAAAATGATATAAGCCAATCTTTTATTGAGAAAAGACACGAGTGCGAAATTTGCGTGCGTGTGCGTGTGACGGCATGATTGTCAGTAACATTGATCGACCTGCGGCTGGGGGTTGGTTTTTGCGTCTTCTGCTATGCTGCTATGCATTGTGTTCTGCGTTTTTTTTGCATGTGCAAATCGAAGCATCGCAGTGTTAGCAGATGGTTGTTACTTTTGTCAACCGGAATTACAAGTCACTTGATTATCAGTCAGCCATGCCACATCTTAGGGCAGCAATGAGGAACGGCCACGAAAATGCTGCAGGCTGGTCCGTCGGTCGAGGAATGCGACTCGACTCGATTGCCGTCACTCGATGATTGTCCGACTTCCAGCGATGCAGGGCCAGTCTCTTTCCTGGTCGAGCGACCTGTCAACAGCATTCCTATGGCCATTCTTCATCGTTCCTCTGAAGGACGCAGCATGACAGAGTGATAATGGAATGGCTTGAAATCTTCGTTGTTTAGTCAGACGAAGTCAACCAATATGTCCTATTACTAAATTCGGAGTGCTACTCGCAAGGCATCGAGCTGCGCAAAACGTGAAAAATACATCAAGCATAGCAGCTGGCGCAAATCAACCCCTAGCGCAATTTAGCCAATGTTGCTGATAGACCGTGCAACCGCATGTATTATGAGAAAATATCAAAACTCGTATCTTTTCTCATTAAAAAAATCTATCAGCTTTAAAAGAGGTGCGTTTAAGAGTCGATTTAGGGAACATTAGCACTATATACTAAGCCATAATCATTATGGACATTAAAAATACTGAATAATATAGCTGCAAGTGACTAGGCTGTAGATTGAGCTGCTCCTTCATAAGTACCTAACTTTAGAGAGATAGGACTATCACCAATGAACGCTCGACCTTGATACGTTAAGTCAATATAGGCCAAAACGTCTCGACGTCCTTTCCAAAACCTTGAGTACGACAAATTTCGACATGTCCTCGGCGATTACCAACGAATGCTACACGACCAGTAGTCACTATCTTATTCCGCCTATCTGCTTTTACTCTTCCAGGCCATGCCACGATCGGTCGTGACAAAAATGCAGATGGTGGTGGTCAGGAGACTACCACCATTTGTACTTTTGAAACCCTTTTTCTACGTTGCCCCCGTAAATCAATCACTGTCATAGAAGAACCGGATTTTCCTTGTCTTTATACTCGCACAACAATCGCCTCGTGTACCTAGCCTTTGGCTCTCCATCATACAAATCAGTGAATTTCATGGCTGTTTAGCTTCCTCTAAATTCACCAGCCTCAGATCTATTATGCAATACAAGCGTCTCCTTAGCTTCTGATGACATACCGCAGTTTTATTTAAGGATCTAAATCAAGATATATCGCGCACCCTCGACTGTTGACATGTGATGTTCAACATGCTTCAATCGGACCGACTCATGGCTCGGAATGCACGAGGAGTTGGAACAACTTGTCACGCATTCCTCCTTCGCACCGGGAGACCGCATTTATTCTGTGTTGCATGGGTTTGCATTGGTGTCATTCCTGGTAATCTCAGGGATTATTTCTTGGTTTTTCTAACCTTTCACCGGAACGAAGTATGTCGTAACTTTTTTTTTTTCTGCTGAAACAAGAGAAATCCCACAAGGAAATACGTGACTGTGGAAAACTGGGCAAGACAGTCTAAAATAACCTCAACAGACTGGAATTGTACGCTTCGGGAAGCTAGCTCTACTCATTCTCTTAACGCTACACTGCATGGTGTGCCAGATATGGCACGCTCTGCTTTGCATTGAAAAGCGTTACAATACAATGGGAAAACCAAAATGAAAGGATAATTTTCCCCCCTTATTTTTCTCAACAACATGTAAAAATATGATCGTCAAAAACGTTTTGGTAAATAAAAAAAGCAAACTTACTTCAGCTGTCGACGATAGTGCTCCTCTGAAACTACTCTACTTCACAAGCCAAATTAGAACAAAAAGTAATCCATGGATCACAAACTAAGTCTGGAAGCTCAATAAAATAAATCAGTGTCAATTCCAACATATAGTTGTTCTGCTAGAGCCTGAAGATCATAGGGACATTTTTAAATGTATCGCTCTAAGGTGCGCTGTGCTATCCGGTCTGCTAAAGTATGTAACTACAAAATACAAATCCAGTAATAATAAAAAATGTAAGGACTTTTTTTTAACGGTTTCGAGAACGTTCGGCAAAAGAGTTCTTCCACTGCTGTGCTGCCTCATATATCCACTGAGGCAGCACAGCATATCTCCTTCTCCATTAACGTTACCTCTGACCGAGCAAATGTCATTCCTGTCTCATTCCTCCCTCCGCCCCTCCCAACTCAGTGGTACCTCCTGTATTCCACCTTTAGGTGCCTCCTCTACTCTCGAACTCACGAAATCTTTAAGAACAAACCCTCACATTGAATAGACGCCATACTAAGTCCTGTAATTAAATTGGCTTCTTCCCGCGAACCGTATTTACTAGTGCTCACTCGTGCCTTGAATGCCATTATCGCCTCAGCAGAATTTCCGAACGAACTGAAAATTCCTTTTTAAAAATTGCAAAACTTGTTGAATTAAGAAAGATGACGCATCTACCGGCCCATTGAACTTGTCCCTGTCCTGAGAAAATAATTGAGCGCCATGTTTCTCTGAGCTTCATTTCTTTCCTTGAGGATCTTACTCTTATGTCCCCCAATCAATTTGGTTTTCGCAATTTTCACTCGTGCTGCTCAGCCATGATTAAATTCATAAATCATCTAATGCAGGCGTGCCCAAAGTGTATGTTCTCTAAGGCACTTCGTGTGCTGGATCGACGTCCTCCCCCCGACAGAGATTTTTGGTGGGACACCCAGGCGGTCGCGCGGAGCGGGGGAGGGGCCCCGCTCGCAGGCGCGCCCATGGCCGAAGGCCTAACCCGGTTCCTTACATAAGCAAGAATCACCAGGCGCCGAATCGCTCTTACTTTGATTTCGATGGTGTGTTCTATGGAGGGAACCGTTCCCGGGCTCGTTGGGGCCCACACGGAATTCTTTTTTTCGCCCAAAAAATGTACTTCGTCACCGAGCCAACGATCGGGTGAGCGCGCGTTTCGTTTTGGAACAGGCACGCACGGACCTACAGCGTGGCTGGGATTGGAGTCGACCCGAAGAACACGACGACCGAGATCTCGAAATCCCCGCTATTAGAAAGCGCCAATTTTTTTTTTTTGGCCCTGCTGTGCATCGGAGCGAAAGCGAAGATGCACAGCTCAGGGCCGTCGGGAGGACGTTGAACTCATTGAACTTTTCTTTCTCCACCTTTTTTTTCCCTGTCGCGATCGTGCCGAAATTTTCGAAAGATTCGATTTAGTCAATCGTAGGAGGAGGTTATTAACGTTGTTTCTTCGGACCTTATTAAAAGGACATTGTGTTTTACGTGTGTTGAAAAATCAACCGCGCGCATGCGGCCGATGGTTTTTTTTTTCACCCAAGAGTCTGGAATATCGAAAGAGAAAAAGTGAGAGAGAATGTGAGAGGAAATGAACTGAAGTACAAAGATGTAGTGTGGGCGGGGCCCCCACTGGATGCGGCCCGCGGACCGCACTTTGGGCAACCCTGATCTAATGTCTCAACAATATCAAGGTAACTGCACTGGAGCAGTTTTCATTGATTTTCATTTACTTTTCCAATGCACAATATGTAAACCTTGGTGTTACAGTGTGCAAGTGCAAGGTATTTTGTGTTTTAAAGGGGTCTTTCTCTACCTTTCTAAAACATATACGTACTTGCATAATTCATCTCCTGGTAGAGCCATTTGTGTTTGAGCCTTAGTGACTTATGATGCCCCAGTTCCAGTTTTTCTTATGTTTAGATATTTCTTTCCAAATCATCATACCCTTATAACTGGAACCGCCATCTACAAGGTTGTTCATATATGTAATATTGTCTACCCCCTCAGCCGTTTTTTTGGTGGTGTCGTTTTTCTGTCCCAATAAAGTTGATGATGAAAGGGTTAGCAGACGACATGACGGTGATACCCGTGACGTACACAGATGGCTGCGCTCTATTCTGCCATAGTGTAGCCACGAGTGAGAACCTACTCAAGCTTTACACGTCGTCAAGATGGAGGCAACAGATGGTGATGTCTTGCAACAGGTCGTTGAAAATGTGACAGAAGCTGCAAAAAATGCCACAACAAAGACTCCTGCGACCCCAGAAGGAATGGCGGTTGCCTATGGGAGTCTTGTACTTATGGCTTTATTACCCATTTTCTATGGGTCCTTTCGATCTGTCACGTATCATAAAGCTCAGAAGGTAGGTGCTTACTTTGACTAGAATATAGTAGATCTACTATGATCCTAAAGTGAGATGTGTGTCTATGCGAAACTGCTAAGGAGAAGTTAGTAGTCTTGGGGTATAAACCTGAAGTTATGACATAAGTAACCATAGGCCATCATAAAGGCCCATTTTGTATGACTCCTGCTGGCTACTCAATTTTGCAGGAGTCTGGTGAAGTTCCTGATACCATGTCTCATAGAGATGCTGCTATGTTTCCACTCTTTGCAAGTGCAGCCCTTTTTGGGCTTTATATATTTTTCCAGGTGAGCTAAATTGTGCAACTTTTGATAGGCTATCAGTGTTGACCTAAATTGTAGACCTATTAGCTTGAATCTGCTTACTCCACTCAATTTTTTTGTGTTTTTTGCACTTTTTCTTTTTTTGTAGGTCTTTTCAAAAGAGTACATCAACATGCTCTTGACGTCCTATTTCTTTGTTCTTGGAATTCTTGCAATGACACACATGCTGAGGTAAGTTGTGGTGATGTCACTGGCTAGGCCTATTTCCTACTGGTAGGCATGTATGGTTGGTTGGTTTAATTGCTTGGTTTTGTTTGTCACTTCTTGGAAGAGGCACAATTATCATGAACACTGGAAGATCATTAGTTTACAGAAGTAATTCAGAGTGAAATTGGTCCATCTCTTGACTATATACTTGAAAATAAAAATAGTTATTTTTTTTTTTAAATAGGTATTTACCAATAGAAGGCAATTTTGATTGGAATAAGTGTAACTGAAGTTTTTACCTGGAATCTCTATTGACTTAATACATTTTCAGATTGACTTTGTACCCCAAAACAAGTTTTACATGATGAACTTCATTTGTTTAACTTGTGAAAGTACAAAGTGAACCTGGAAATTGCAAAGTTGATATAAATCCACTATAAGCAAAAAGCAGCCATAATTCATTATAGTGTGTTACCTTGCATAAGTTCAGAGATAAACTAAGCCCATGTCTATCTCAGGTGTAATTCTCTTTAGTTCTATATTTTCATCATCATTGTAGTCATCAGAGGGGCAAAACCACACAGTAATGCATTTAGTGTTTCCTTTTTTTTTTATAAACTGTTTGGCAAATAGATTTGGTGAGCAAGAAAGTGGTGAGCTCAGAAATGAAAAATTAATACTCTTTTTTAGTTGAGCAAAAAAAAAAAACCACATTTATTTTATCATACTGTTCATCAAATATTTCAGCATCCACTTTTGTTTGCTTTTTGTATTTCTGTTAGCCACCAGCCTGCCTTTTATATTTTTTTGTCCCAAAGGAGACAAGTTATGCCCTAAGGTAACCAATTAAAAGTATCATTAGTTACTTTGCTATCAGATTGCTATCAAAAGTAGATGTGAATAGTCTTCTGCATTTCTCTTTCTTCATTGATTCCCCTTTCATTCTTTCATTTTTCAGTCCTATCGTCGAAAACCTTCTGCCCAGCCGGATTCCAAGAGCAAACTTCAGACTCCTTCTTACAAAGAATCCTAGTTCAGATGCCAAGGATGATCTCTGGGAATATACGTTTAATACTGTTACCATAGTCTGCTTAGGAATCTCATCTGTCATTGGTGTCTGGTACTTGTTGCAGAAGGTAAGAAGTTTGAATGTTTCGACCCATTATATACTCAATTGCACATTTTCATTACATTACACATTTATCTAATCCCATTCTGATCCTATTTAAATAAAATTCCTATATCCATGCTTAGAGCCATCATCTTCCTGTTAATTTTCAAGAAAATTAGAATTGGTGAAGCACAAATGGGTAAACATTTTTTGAAATCTCATGAAATATCCCATGTCTGTTGTGATATATCTGGCAAAAGGCAGAAGTTGTATCATTTTTTTTAAACGGTATCCATTTTCTGTAATTCATTGCCCCAAATCATGTTTAGTGGGTGGAAGGAAAGGAAGGAAGACCCTCTCTTGCCTATTGTAGAGAGAGGCCATTGTCCCTCAGTGCCCATATTACATTCCTGTGTTTGAAATACTCTATGGATCAATCTGTGCTTCATTGTCTTTTTCAGCACTGGGTGGCGAATAATGTGTTTGGGCTGGCATTTGCTGTCAATGGAGTTGAGCTCTTGCATCTCAATAGTATTATCACAGGATGCATTCTCCTGGGTGGTCTCTTCATTTATGATGTGTTTTGGGTGTTTGGAACCAATGTCATGGTTACCGTTGCAAAGTCTTTTGAAGCTCCAATCAAATGTAAGCAATGTTTTTTTCTCCCATGTTGCATTAATGATATGATTGTCATGTCTCTAGTGAAGTTCTTTTGCTCTTTTTAATCATATTGAATCAATGTTATGGGCATTATAGAGATGTTTAGTCCTTTCGGACCCAGATAACTTCCAACAGCTAAGCATTCCAAGTTCACTCATATGGGATAAGAAAATTAGGTCCAAATTCTGAAACCACCTTTAGTTAGTGGTTCTTTAAGAATACATGGACTCATATGGGAGAAAAAGAGCTCTTTAGCTTAAAAGCCCCCTTATCTCCTCTAAAAGTTTGTGCATTCAGGCCTTAGTCTTTTTCATTCATATTTTAGTTGCAGTCTACATATGTTAACTGAAGAGCTAGTCAAGGAATAGTGAAGCTTGACAATATATATCCCAATATGGGCATTTAGTATAGCAGACTTATTCTGTGATTTTTCAGTGGTATTTCCTCAAGATATTTTGGAGAGGGGCCTGGGTGCCACCAATTTTGCAATGCTTGGTCTAGGAGATATTGTCATCCCTGGAATATTCATCGCTCTGCTGTTGCGCTTTGATACAAGGTAAAGTCATAATACTTTGGATAGTTGTCTAACTCATGAAACACTGCCACATTCAACTACAATACCCCATAATTCTCTGTTTTCTTTCAGTTTGAAGAGAGGCTCAAACACATACTTCAATTTCACTTTTTTGGCTTATTTTCTTGGCCTTCTCGCCACCATCTTTGTGATGCATGTATTCAAGCATGCACAGCCAGCATTGCTGTATCTGGTCCCTGCTTGTGTTGGCACACCCCTGTTGCTTGGACTCATCAAGGGGGATTTGAACCTTCTCTTCCAGTAAGTTTTGTTTACTTGCCAATAATCCAATTACCACCTTTTTTCCGTTTCAAAACTTTGACTTGACATTGACTAACATAGTGTTTTGGCACTAGAGACATTGGAATTCAAGTAGTGAGAGTGTATCTTCTCAAATCTATTGTAAGATTTTCATGAAAGGGTGGTATTGAATCTAATGACCAGGTTTTGTGCTTGAATTAGGTGAGAAAAAATATTTTAGCATTAAATAAGCCAGAAGACCATTTAATTATCAGCTGCTATTCTATTGGCCCTAAATCTTACATAAAATCTTGCAGTGATCTTTCCCTTTGTCCAACTATATCAAAGAGGAGCTTAAATGGACTTATCTTGGGAAGATGAGCATTCTACCAAATATGCGCAAAGAAAAAACGATTCTAGTATTAGTGTAGTTTTGTTGAAAATGCCTTCTTCAGTGCATCCTTAAGTTGTTACATTGTTCAAATTAGCAAGGACTGGATCAGGGTAATCAGAAGACTTTAGATGGGTTATTTAATGAATTTTCCCTTCTTCTCAGGTATGAAGATCATCCAGAGAAACAAGAAGAGGACAATAAGGAAGATTAGGAAGCACAATCAAAGACTGTTACGTATTCTGTGGTGAGATTTGTGACCGGGTGAATGAAAAGAATAAGATTGTGTTACTTTGCTGTTGAAGAGAGTGTCTGTTCTATTTCATAAAGCCTTTGTTCCTGGTAGAGTTTATATGTTGATATTGCCTGTTTTGGAAACTTTTTTTCAGAGGATGGCAATTTTAAATATTTTTTTCTGTGTTGTGAGCATAAATTATTGCCCCTAAGGTGTCCATCTTATCACCAAAGCTGCTGTGATGGCTCACCACATTCCATTCTGGGCTGTTGATCTGAGGTGCATTTCTGTAGTCTGAGTGATCATCTCATTTTTCTTGGAACTGGACATTGCAGTGAATAAAGGAGAACTTTATGTCACTGTTGAGAAATTGAACTGTTGTACATTGAGATCATGAACATTTTGACTGGGAATTGATGAAACATTTATTGCACGAAACTTTCATTCAGCAACATGTAGCCATGGGAGTATTGGAAGCATACATATGGAAGACTAGAGGTCGATATTGAGCCGACAGCTACTGGAAGAGATCACCCAATGACATTGAATGGAAGATAAGGTCGGCATTCTCGTTGGTAATTCCTCATGGATTGTTTCCCGTAGTTGAAATTGGGAAAGACGGTTCCCAAGGCATCCTTCCGGATGTCTTTGCCTGTCAGAAGTTCCGTCATGAACGCAATGTAGGTGATGGCCAACCGCAGCGTCTCGATTCGAGACAACCGCTTCTCGTATGCAAACGTCGGAACCTGCAACAAAACCCTCCGACTGACTGACGGTCCACCATGACTAAATGAAGTGGAGGCGACGAGGATGTCTCACCTTGCGGCGAAGTCGATCGAAAGCCTCGTTCAAGTTAAACATTCGTCGTCTCTCTCTGATGTTTGCTGCTCTTCTCTGGGCCATACTCGCAACTCTCCGTCTCGGTTTCTTTGTCGTCAAGTTCCCTCCGCTCCCGCTTCCAGACCTGCATGAGAATGTTGATATCGTTATATTATCCCAGGGCTCATGGTTTGGCAATATAGTATGAGAATTTCTCCTTGCCGGGAGGGCTGAAGTCCGGAAGGTGGTGTACCTGCCCAGAAGTCACAGGTTATTCCGAATAATTCTCCTTGTATAGGATAGGAATATTGATACTGAGGATTGGAGCCATCCCACGTGCATGGGTTCGCTTGCATTGCCCCCATCGCCAGATCCCAGCAGTTCACAGCTGTCGTGTCTCCATAGCCATGTCCAACCAAATGGGACATTATATGTCAGTATCCACAGTCAACACCTTTGAGTGCTCACAGCACCATTTCCTAAAAGGTGGAGAGAAGAAAAAGGTTAATCGCTTTCGTTATTGCCTTATATTGAATGGAATTCGACAGACGCAGTGCCTATGGACTCCTATCGCTCCAATTTGTGCCTTCATGTATCAATTACAGAATTTTAAGTTAGTGCAGCATTGCAACGTTTGGGGTGACTAATAAGTCGGTAAAGCTCGTCTGAGAAGCTTGTCACGGCAACTATGGGCAGTATGGCGTCAAGTTTTAATGGAGAAATTTAAGGCACCGCAAAGAGGATTTTGGGTCCTTATAAGAGCGTCTTATCAGTGAAGCGCTGATGCCAGTTACTTGTAATATACTCTCTGTAATCCGCTTTTATATGGTCCGTAACTCATTTTCGGCATCCTGTAAGTGAAGAATGTCGACAAGAAAATAGTAGAAAAGTGAAAGCAGTTTCGGCAAATCAGAATCTGTTTTCATCCATGATAACTGGATTGCAATCGGAGATATGCGATTTCGACAGCGAAATTTCTTTTTGGCATCTCCTATGAAAGCAAAACGGAACGAGAAATACGGCGAGGGAAGCTCCTGGAATGCCGAACTTTCTGTCTTCCGTGTATGCCGATTGAGCATTCTCTTCTCTAGAGTGGGATGCAAGTTTTCGACTTCTCCCGCGGACCACTATGAAGCAATCATTTGAGGGGAAGGAGATTGTCTATATTATTATTCAAGCAAGGGAAACTTAATGGATAGCAGGAAAAGCCTTAAATTCAGCCTAAAATCAGGTATGCAGTGTAAAAGCTTTCAGGAGGTTCGTAATTTTCGGTATTCCGTAAGTGAAGAATGTCGGCAGAAGAATTGGTGAAACGTGACTGCATTTCCGACAAAACGGTGTCTATTGTCAATGAGGGATCGGTTTCATCTGGAGACTTAGAGTTTCGGCAATGAAAAGTCATATTCTGCGTTTTGTAGAATACAGCAACTCGAATCTCAAGATCATCAACGGAATCTGGAATTCGTCGGCGGACTCGTTCCCCGCAAAAAAATATATGATACCTGAGCGCAGAAACGAAGCCAAAGCAATTGCGAATGAATACAGGGCGCTTCATTTGCAGAATAGCCCGCCATAGAGCGGATTGCGAGTGCGCATTTCAGGTTTTTCCCCGGGAAGATTGTTTTGGGATGTTCGTTCGAGGAGAATGGGAATGGATTTTATTTTATTTTTTTCTTGCCAATCAGTATCAAAAGGACTGCAGGAAAGGCCTGAAGTTCTGCCCCAATCAAGTGAACAGTGCGCAAACTTCCTCCCAAGTCTGAAGATGTGGCTCACAATTTTAAGCCGGTTATTACCCATCTCTAGTGCGAGAGCATCTTTTAACATACGTTGGCAAGCCGTCGTAAAAATGGGCTATGTAATTGGCATCAGTGACTTGTCTGATGAGTCACGAGACGGTATGCACAACTAGGACGGGACAGTTTTCAAAAGGAAATTTTTAGAGACTGGGGACTTGATATATCCCATGTGCCTTGGATCCAAATGAACATAAGTGCGAATTTGACTCATCTTGCTTTGTTACCCATTCCCGGTCCCTCGGTGTCCGCGAACTCCCACAAATTCCTCGTATTGACGGAACCACGGTATACAATAGAGTGAATGCATCCGAGCAATGAATGCCGTGGAGCAGATGAAGCGCTTCGGTTCTTGACCAATCTTCGCATTTCCACTTTATTTTGCGGAATCGCATTTCTCTAGACCTCAGGTTGTCTGTTAACTTTCAAGCCAGTTTTCTCCGACAGAAATAAAATTTGAGACTCGGTGGCCTCCTCAATAAATCTTACGACGAAACCTGTCGTGCATGAGTAGAATATTCTCGATTGTATTTTATGTTTGCGTGCACGTACAAGGAACCAATCGATGACTATTATCAACGGCGGTTTGCAACATCTCTCGTGGAATTAACCCCTGGCGTCCCCTTGGATACAATAATTTTCTCCCCTGAAATCACTCGGGTGGGGTTTGGTGTCCCCGCTCTGCTGCCCTGCCCCCCTGACTCTTGAGCCAAAATATGCTGCCGGTTACGCAATTGATCTGGAGTACTTCGATTGGTCACTGAATCAGGGACTGTTCTGACCCACCAATCCGAGCGATCGTGAAAGAGACGTGAACGTTGGCATTGAACGTTTGGAAAACCCCAGATGTGGACTCGTGCGCGTCATTTGACTTTCCAGGATACTTAGCTGGAACTGGTGCATATAATACTTTCGTTTCACGTCACGTAGACATGAAGGGGATCCTTTTTGCTCTCTCCTCATGAATGTATGCTAATACAGGCGTACTGCATTATCATTGAGAGATTCTGGCGTAACCTACGACAGCAGAATACGAGTCCATCATTATATGATTGATGAAGAAGAGATATACTACACCAACGAGGACGAACCTATGGCAGGCGAAAGGATATTTGGAGAAAGAAATCGTTGAACTGCATTCTACGACGACTCTGCCTGCCACTCAATTTAAAACCCCAGCTATTATTTCCATATTGACCACAACAGTGAATTCAGACCCATTCCAGCTGGGAAGCCGCCGGAAATTGAAGTCCTGATTCAGGCTGTTTTCAGCCGGAATTCCCCAGTTGGACCGAGCATTGTTTCGCACCCTGCTTCTTGGCTATCTTAATGAGTGAAAGCAGCTGGATCACCGCTGTAAATTCCTTCCCGTTCCACCTGGGGGGATCCCGTGCCGTTCCGAACTGATTTCGGAGTTTCAGGATAGTCCCACTGCTGCCTCATTCACTCAAGACTTTTGGAAAAAAAAAAAAGACTGTATGGAAAAATAATCACTGAGCATATGAGACGCACAAATGGATGGCACCTGCAGTCGCTGCTGAAATCTGTCCAGAAATTCTGGTATCAGTGCAGAAGCATCTGGGAGCTTCCAGCTGGAATATAATTAATATAGACGATCGTGAGTGAGAGACGGACGCTGATTCTAACCGTGTTTTACTTGTGATGGAAGGATGAAACTTGCCGGCAAAAAAAAAATTACTGGTTTTACTCGGTTTGCGATGGACTTTTCCGGCAGGTGGATTGCCGTGCGGGAAACGTCTCTGGTTCCAATTGGGAATTCGAAAGTAGGCATTTTCCGACTGGAAAAGCTGAGAATTTGGCTGAATGTAGCATGAATTTCCAGCTGGATCCTGTTGGTTCATTCCAGCTGGAAACAGCATTCCAATTTACAAACAGTCCGGTTGGCAAGGCTGCAGTTCCTGCTGGAAGTAGGTCACATTTACAGAAGAAAAACTTGCGGTTTCTAGCTGGAACTTTTTTGCTGGGTTGGTACGCGATAGCTGTTGCTGACTTAAGTGCTGACTTAAGAAAAAAAAATCCGTTTTGTAGGTACACAAGGCGCTCTTGGGTTGCTAAATTCAAGGATAGCCCTACTTTTTGGGTAAGTCCCATGGAGGCACGTTTTTTCAGGGGGAACATGTTTTCGAAATTTTTTCGTAACAGAACTGAGGAATAGAGAATGCTGAAATTCGGCACGCAATTAGTTCTCCGGGTATTCATTTCATGAAAAATCCAACTTTTGGGATGCATTTCCGGGGGGCGAATATTTTTGGAGAGGTATTTGGACAGAATCCTGAGGAACCCATTTCCGGGGTGGGGGCGAGGGGGGGGGGGGCGGGTGAGAGGGTTTTCAAACATATTTTTTGTTTGAACGAAACGGTTCTTACAATTCTGGCATGAAAGCTATGGTGTGAAAGAAAATTTTCAAGGGGGATTTCTTGGATTGAAACTTAGAATTTCCCTTCGTTTTAAGTTGCTAACATTAAGTTGCCAGTGACGTCACGATATCCGAAGTAACTTGACGTCACAATTAATAAAGTCTCAACTCGGTGGAGTTCACTTCACAAAAAGTTCGGCGCACATTCCAGGTGATTCAATCTATTTCAATCTATCTATCTCAGTTTGATCTGCTGTTCTCAGTTGGAATAATTATTCCAACTGGGAAGTTCCAGCCTCGATTTCCAAATGTTTCCCAGATCAAAATGGTGACTGTTTTCAGTTGGGATCTAAAAAGAAATTTTAAGATCGCATACGCTGGTAGACAAGCGCAATAATTTCCTGAAATTCTCGAGAAGTTATCCGCACTATGTCTAGCCCTCTAGATGCAGGTGAGTCATATTTAATTTTGCGCGGCACGCCAAACATAAAAGGTTCTCCCCCTTCACCAGACCATATTTTAAAAAAATTTGCGAGTGCAGTCTCGCAACTCCTTTCATCACGAAAGGAATCGCGACGTCGCACCGTCGAAATTTAACGGCAGGCGTTCCGTCCCGTCTCCTTCAATGGGCTTCAATGCATCGCATGATGGAGCTCTAATATTGAAGGTTCTTGAGGTTAACGAAGGGTAATCGTGATGTTGAGGTTAAGTGTACTGTATTCGGATGCATTCCAAATCTTTTAGAACAACCGGAATATGAATTTAGCTCTGTTATGATTGCAGGATTAGTGATGGAATTCTTGGAAGGGCCGGAATTCAGGAACTTCACGGCGGGAGATGCTCGGTGTGAGGTAACGGAGACGAAAACTCTCGAACTATCGTTACGTTGGTGTACAGAATGCGTGAAACTGCAAGGCTTCATCTGGCATTCCATTCTGCCAATTCGCGTATTTCTGTTCCGCTGATGGGAAACGAGGAGAAATAGTTTTCCTTTGACCCCCAAAGAACGGAAACCGATCGGTGAGGTATCTGATGGGATCTCGTGCGACCACGGACTTCACGGATTGTTTAATCCTTTCGTGGTCGATTTTTTTTTCTTATCCTTTCCAGAGCAAGTCAAACGTTTCCCACTGCCCTCGAAAGGATTAAACGCGGGAGTTTACGCGCGAGAAGCGAGAAGTTCCACTTCTCTTTTTCCCGAAGAAATCGGTTGAGGATCGCCCTCGACAGGCGCAACTTCGTAACGGGGATACATTATCGGCGAGACGATTTATATCGGTTCGTTTGCGAAATTTAATCGCTC